GTGGAGGTCAGTATCTCAGTCAGCCAGTGTGTCAATCAGTCAGTGTATCGGGAAGGAAGAAGGCAGTGAGGCAGGCACTTCTATTTCTGGAGCGGAGCTGGGCTCAGTGACTCCAGATAGTTATATATAGCGCTCTGGAGGAAGTCAGGTCCACTATCACAGCTTCACACATCTCTGTGTGCAAACCTCCCAGGCTTCCTACAGGGGAAAGAGAGATGAGGGGATCTATGGTCCAGGGTTTGTGTCTTCAGGTTTTACAATTCAACATTGTCAAAGTCAAAGACAAATGCACTCATGGCTCAAAACTGAAAAAGACTCAACCCTGTGTGATAATGATATATATCTGTGTGTAGCGCATATCCCTTTCATACCCTATAACCCAGGGACATGTGCTTCTCTTTGGGGATCTAAATGGTAGGACAAGTACTGAGTGTGAGTAAGTACATAGGGAAACAGCCATGTATGTGGATGGTACCACATATCCACCACAATGCAGAGTAGTAACTATGACTGTGTGTTGAATGGGCATGAGAACTGTCTTGGATCTGTACAATATTCATAGATCAGAAGGGTCTCTTCAGGTTGGTTCACCTATTGTTCAGTTGTTGGGCCAAGTGTAGTTGTTTGTGCCATCACCGACATGGACTCCTCTTTTATCAGTGCATTCACTGCCAGACCAAAATATCCCTTTTGGGCTACAGTCGAAACTCTGTTTTCCTGAGCAGAACCAAGGAACATACAATCACACACTACAAGCTGGAACACAGGTACAGAGCTCCAGACAACCTAGGAGTACACAAACACACCTTGTAAACCATACTTTTTGGATGGCACAGAAGACCAGCAAACAGCAACCAGTTCTACAGGAATGGCAAATCCTATTTACCACAGACAACACCTGCACGACATGATAGGTGAATTAATGTTTAACATTAATGAAATATTCCAAAGAGCATCAATTAAGGCACTCATTAAGAATTCAGTCCAAAGTTAAAAGAAAACCTGTTTGACAATGATAAAAAGGAAAATATCAAATCAGAAACCTCATCATTCACACAGCTCCGATTTATGCCTCTGGTACTGTTTTTAAATATTACAAACAAACTCTGAAAGTCACAAAATGAAAACACATCTACATAACCCTCACTCTGGAGATTCAGTAAATCAAAATCAGGTCTGGGAAATGTGGAATAGTTTAAGCACAACAGAGCCTCAGGAAACATGGCAAAATACAGAATGGAAATATTTGGGAAAAACTGCTTTGGAAACCTTTATGAAAAAAAATCCACACAGAGGTTTCCAATCTTGACATATTGTCATTCAGGAAAAACTAAAAATGCTTCAGCCGTGAATGAAAAACAACCAAACTTTGCAGAGCAGTCACCTTGCAAGCGCTCACAGAGCTCCAAACACCCAGAAACCCTTCACTCTCAATAGCATCAGAACCGAGAAGCTCAAACACAGCAGGGTCGAGCTGCAAGAGGCCCTGCTTAAGATACTGAACCTCAGTGCCGAATTTCCTATTAGGCCTACGAAATGTCTAGGGCCTACGAAGGAGAGAAACACTAGTGACTAACGAAAAACGGGTTGAAACTACATGCTTGCGATCGACTCTAGGTGCTCCAAATCAATAACCCTACGGTATCTAGCGGCTGTTCTAGATACTAGAAGTATCGAAGGGATGGTCGCTCGACTCAATCACACAGTTTAGCATGAGAATAGTTGAAAGTGCATCATGTCAATCGACGTCATTCAGAGGGGACGTTCACCCCTCTTTTTGCACGTTTCGGAGTGAAAGTGCCAAGGGCCTACGAACCCCAAAATCCCATCTGTTGAGCTTGGCACTGTGCACAGCTATGCCCCTGACGTCTGGGACCTTTTATCTCTTTATCAAATTTACAAAGAGGAGATAAAACCATCCCCATTCACTTCTAAGGCATGTGGAAACGGAGGAATGTGGTGAAGGTGTTTTCGAGTATTATCAATACCGAAAAGACTGGCCTTCAGTACTGAGCACAGGATCCTGAGACACTGGGAGTCAGATTGACTTCCTTCAAAAACACTACATTACTGGCCACATTTAGCCCTTACACACCCTAATTAATAAATACATCTTTAAAAAAAATAAGGGCAAGGTACTTTGCTGAATTCAAATAAAGCATTTGATTCTGTTATGTACAAATGTTTATATTACAAAATTCTCCAGAGCTGTTTTAGGGAGTAACGTACATGGCGTTGTTGATCTGTTGAAAGAGCAAGTTCTTTAAAAGTGGGTGGGGCATGAGTCTGGGCTGTAGTCAGAGTCCATGGCTGTCTAATGTCTACTGTACTGTATGTCATTGCAGTGACAACTGCCCCAGGGCTCAGTCTGTACAACATTTTAAGTTAAAATCCTGCACAGATGACCTGTGTCATCCGACAGAGCAGAGGCTGGAGCAGAACTGTCACCCCAGCCAGTTAATTTAAAACAAAAATCAGGTCGACTTCCCAGAACTCAGGAAAGTGGGGTCTGTTTCACTCTTGGCAACACTGTCTTAGCACATGAGTTACAACCTGTAGGGCCTGTAGATTGTGGATTGTCTTATCCAGCACCTTGAGTTATATGGAAGTGAGGTGCAGTTTCTCTCAGTCAGCAAAACTGTACACAGTGGGATAAACGCCCAGGTACGGAAAACACTAATCCCCACATGCAAGACTGAATTAGACCTGTATTCCCTTCTTGGCTGCTCATCACCTTCATTGAAAAAGAGTCTCAAAGGTCTGGATGTATATTTGAAAAAAACTCCCCCAGACTTTTGCAGTCCAAAGGTTCCCTTGGCCACCTGGCCTTGAAGCTCACTGCACACTAAAACTGAGCACCTGCAGGACAGCACCAGTCAAACACACTGAAGTTGGAGTTAACCACAGTCCACGGCAGATCAGACACCTTGCAGAGAAGCAGAGAAGGCTAGAGTAACAGTAGAACGAAGAGGGAGACAAACAGGGAGCAAGGCTGTGATGTGTCAGTGTTTTATCTCCCTGCGTCTGTCTGTGTTTGTTTAGTATAAGCACACTGTTTCTTCATCCCTTAAAATGGATTCATTAATCCTATAATAATTTGACTTTACTGAAGTGAAGGGTGGTGCACATTCTGTGGAAATACATGTGGTTAATACATGCTTAAATAGGTAGAAACAGTAATTATTGGTTTAACTGCACTACAACAAAGCCTTCACGAGGTGTGTTAGAGTAATTAATCTAACGAGCTTTGATCTGACAATTGAGCCATTTACTTTGTTTTTTGTTTCCTACACTCTTGAAGAGTGTGTGTCAGTCATTATGCTGCTGCTTCATCCGGGAACATGTGCTGTTGTGTTGCATTGCCCTGCAAGCGAATTGTGAAGCCTTCCCTTGTCTTAAGGCACCTAGCTTGACTCTCAGTGTTTCCACTCCGGGTCCTCCCCAGTTATATTCTGGTCTGATGAGCTCAGTCCTCTCTGGCCCTTGTACTGCTGTCAGGGAGGAATAAAGAACAGTGTGTCTGAGCTGTTTGGCATTCAACACATTGCGAGCTGCAAAGGTCTTATAGGGATTAGAGCATCTCTCTCTGGCAACACTGCAAGATCACAGGTGTGATCATCTTAGCAGATCATAAGGGCTGCTTTAGCACAGCTAGCCTGGCCCACCCAACCTCAGCATCACCAGTGACCTCTGTACTAAAGGGTTGCAATATGATACAGCCTGCACTGCACTGGACCAATGGTCTCTGGACTGTAGGGTTACAATATGACACAGACTGGACC